CAATTTTCTTCTAGAAAATGAACAATCATGAAAAGAAAAAATTCAAGCAAAAATATGCAATCATTTAGCTTGGATTCATGGTGCTGTCACCCTGCAGTCATGGCAAAAATCCTTCCATATTGTTTTTCAAAATTATTTTTTGGCAGTCCACAGAATGGGGGATGAAAAACTGCAAAAAATAAAATGCCAACAATAAACTCTTAATAAGAAGCTAAGCATTTTTCTGCAGTTGATGACAACAAAAAAAAGGTGGTGACAAGTGAATTTGGAATTATGCCTGCAACTTTGTCAACAATTTTTAAAAATTTGTCAAAAATTAAATTGTGTGACTTCAACATGAGACCTCATTGCAAGCAAATGTGGACTGCTACTCATGGAGACCTGTACAAGGCTGTTTTTGCATGGTTTCAAGAAGTGCCATCTAGCAACATTCCTATAAATTGACCCCTAATTCAAGAGAAAGCCAGGCAGTTAGCACTTTCTTTTGACAAAAAATCATGTATAGGTGGTGTTGGGTGGCTTAATTGTTTCTATGATTGATTCTGAATTTTAACTAAAGTGATCTGTGGGGAAGAGTCAGCAGTTCTCACCACAAAAGTGAACGAGTGGCAGGTCAGTGAGATGAAAAAAGTATTGCATCTTACAGCCTTGACAGCATTTTCAATGCAGATGAAATGGAAATTTTTTTCTAAATTGTTACCAAATTGCACATTGGCTCTTAAAAATTATCCTTGCCATGGTAGCAGAAAATCAAAGCAAGAGACTGAAAGCCATCTTCTGTTGAAATGCTTCAGGGATAGATAATTTGAGTCCACTCATCATTGGAAAATCAGCAAAACCACCTTGTTTCAAGAATGTACAAGTGTGACTGAATGACCACTGCAATTTTTGTTAAATTGCTGAAGCAGGTCAACAAGGACATGCAAATTTAAAAAAGGAAAATCTTGCTTGTTTGGGACAACTGCTCTGTCCACACAATTCTTCCTTGTCTAGATAATGTGCAAGTGGAGTACCTGACACCAAACTGCACAGTACTTTTTCAGCCTCTGGACCTGGGCATAATACAAACTGTGAAAGTTCATTACAGGGAAAATATTTTTTAGAAAATTCTTGCAAACATTGCATGTGATAGAAAGGATACTGACATTGACAAAGCACAGTACTTTTTCAGCCTCTGGACCTGGGCATAATACAAACTGTGAAAGTTCATTACAGGGAAAATATTTTTTAGAAAATTCTTGCAAACATTGCATGTGATAGAAAGGATACTGACATTGACAACAAGCAAGCAATTGAAATTATTGCTTGTGTCTGGTCAATTAAATTTTTTTGCATGCTCTGACATTGCAAGTGATGAAAAATATGATCTGCTGAAAAAAGTTGAGAATGCATTGCCAGCAGCAATGAATAAGAATTTTGTTCAGAAGAAAATCACTGAATTTTTTGAACAATAATTTTAGTTCTTAAACTGAAAGACAAGCCTGATTCAGAATATATGCAGATCTGAGCTGAAAAAATTTTTCCATTCATTTTTTTCATAATCTTGTTACAACAAATTATCCGTTATAACAAACTTTTTCCACGGTCCCCAAAAGTTTGTTGTAATGAGATTTTACTGTATATGACATAGAATGGTATCGTCGTTTTCATGTTCTGAAGTGCGCGAGTAGTTCTTTTGTATTCAGCCGTACTAACCAGTTGTTCATTGTTAGTGCTGATAACTACGCTTTTCATGCTTCTTGCTATTAATAAGGTTCTACTTTCAATAAGTACTGTTGGCGATCCTATGAACTCTCAATAATGCGTTACTTCTGCTTTTTTACAGCTGATGTGGAGAGATGCAGAGCTGCGTTTGCCCCTAGATCAAGTGATCATCCATCCCTGGATACTTCACCACACTGCCTACTCTCCGGAGAAGCCCAAGGTTTACAAGCCGATTGCGCGAACCATGACAGTGGACGGCCAGACTGTAGAGAGGGATCAAGTCTTCGTCGAAGACTGTACCGGGGCATCTCAGCAAATTAAGGTCACAGCTGAAACCCGAGGTGGCATGCAAGAGACACGTTAATCTGCTGAAAAAAGTTGAGAATGCATTGCCAGCAGCAATGAATAAGAATTTTGTTCAGAAGAAAATCACTGAATTTTTTGAACAATAATTTTAGTTCTTAAACTGAAAGACAAGCCTGATTCAGAAAATATGCAGATCTGAGCTGAAAAAATTTTTCATTCATTTTTTTCATAATCTCGTTACAACAAATTATCTGTTATAACAAACTTTTTTCGCGGTCCCCAAAAGTTTGTTGTAACGAGATTTTACTGTATATTGAACCCACATTCCAAACTAACTAAAAGAGAATTAAGCTGAAAGCTGTTCAGGAAAAGCGTTTTCCGTCTGATTTTTCTCTCCAGAAGGTGTGGATTGCAGATTTAAAAGGTTGCTTCCCTTCAAGGGAGTTATGCCCAAAGCAAAAACATTTTCAATAGATGTCCACATTTTCTGGGAGAAATTCAAGATTGAAATCCACAGACTTTTTCATCGTAAAACCCCTCGAATACACTACGTTTAAAACCTACAATTCACATTTTCTTAAAAAATCCAGATGCGTCGGTTTTTTAAAAATCTTTTTTCAAAATGAGGAAAGATTTTCAATTAGAAGTGGATTCGAATTTGTTGCGAAATTTATTGCCTTTACCACACCAGCAACTGAAACATCCGGTTAGAAAACATTTTCATGAAGAAATCGATGAAGGACACAACGAATGTGGCTGGAGTCACGTGACACCTAAGCGCAGATTCAAGAACTTACACAACTGAGTGGATAAATTATAAAATGTAGGTGTCGCACCTTGGAAATCCGTCAACCACGTCATATTGAAATGGTTTTCCAAAACATTGGCTTCTTCTGTCCACGACGTTCCCATCAACAGAATTGAAAGATGGTTGAACAGTTTTTGAGCTGATTACAGGCCACCTGGGTGATTATTTTTTGGAGAAAATTTTCAATTAATAAGTCCATATGCTCATAAAGAAAGATGAACAAAATATCCAATATTTTAACAACTCAAATACATGAGGCTCCACAAAACTTTTCTCTTACATGAAAAAAACTTGCTGGGAGTCTGCAGTGATAACATTGAAGTGGCTCTCTTTAAGAAATCACTTGATCTAGTTCAAATTGCGTGACGTAATAGTTTATTTTCCTTTGCTTCATCCCAATTTGATGAGAGAGATTTATTTTCTGAAAATAACAATGACTCAACTGTATCTCATCATCAGCCCATGAAGGTCTTCTGCTGCTGACCTCAGTTCTCAGCAATGATGGATGTGTGTAATAAAGTGGGCTGTACTCAGACCAGAGTACTATCCATGGCACTTTTTCATCTGGAACAGGTTGTCTTTCAATAACCTCCTAAAATGTAAAGTAACGCCCTCTTTTATTGGATGCAAAAAGGACAAGTATTTTTGTCTACAAACTTGGAATATGAAAAAAAAACACTAGAATTTCGTTGAAAACAAATGTTGATCTCACAAATTAGTGTTCAGAACAAACTGTTTTTGTATAGGTCCCTGTCCAGCAAGGAAAACAATATTATGCCATTATCTTCATAGCTTTATTGTAAAACGAATATTTCACTGTAATAGTTCTCCTTTCCTGCATGCATGAACAAATGATAATTTGGCACAAACAGAAGAGATCAGACAATTTCGAAAAGTATTTTCTGTTCTGGCCTATTTCAAATATAATTGGCAAGCATAGGAAAGAGTAATGGACAAAATATGCTATGACTAAAGTTCATTACTGTATATATGAATATTGAATTTAGAACTTTTGATGCATTTCTCAAAATTGATGGTGTTCATACTTCGTACACAAAGCTTTTTCAATTGGCAAACTGAAAAAGCGCAAGCCAATGAAGATAGATAAAAAATCATGCAAACAAACCCTCACAAAAGGATAGTAGCAAAGAGTCTTGATGAGTGAAATTGAAATTGTGTTCCAAAAACAGTGCCATATTATTCAGATGCTGTGTTTAACTCAAGATTTTATTATTTAAATTTTTAGATACATATTTTGCACATATTTTCAAAACCTTTGTTCCACAAAAAATGAGGAAACTGAAGCAAGATCAAAAATGCTGAAAATTTCAAAATTAAAACTGAGAAATTATTAAAAATCCATTTGGTTTCTGGGATGCTTCACATGTGTGATAGCAAGATTTCCAGCTATGTTTTATGTTGTATGGAATTTTAAAAGTTGGGAAAATGATAGCATATTATAGAGAAATTAAAAATTCCAGTTCACCCTGAAAATATTCCAAGTAAATAAATTTTATTGAACCCTTGCTGGTAAACTTGTGAACTCACTTCATTGTCAGTTGGGTAAGGAGAAGTCCTTGCTTTTTTGTGGACAAACTTATCAGATGATTCTTCAAAAACAAGGCCACCCCCACTTTTTCCACAACCCGCCCCCATTTCAGATGCACAGCAAAATAACTGTTCCAGTCTGCAGAATAGTCTGGGTCCAAATGTGAAAATAAGCCTCTGGAGTGTGTTTTTTTTTCTATGTCTGAGCCCTTGTCATGACCCAGGGTTTCCTAGGAAACCTGGCAAGAGTCCAGCTGACCAAGACCATGCACACAATTGAAGAAAGGCTAATGGAGAGGGGGAAAAAACGTCAATGTACTATCCACCTTGGATCACAACACACATTAATAGCACAGGCTGCCTCATTATTGCAGCTCATATATCACAATCATTCAAATACAGTGGTACCTCAAACTATGAACTCAAGAGGGTTTTGTTTTTAATGTGAATCATTCCAAGCCTGACAAAATAAATTTCCAGAAGTGATGTGTTTTACTTTCAAGTCTTTAGTCTGGAATGCAGTTAAAAAAGGCCCAGCTCACATTTTGTTACAAATGCCGATTGTTTAATGTTTTTGTGCTGTATCTAGAGAATTCAAAATTTGAGGAATCACTGTAGAAAGAATCCCACACAGTTTGCCAAAGAAGTAAAGTTTAGCTGATCTGCACTCAGCTGAAGAAATGTGGAAGAACACAAAAAGGCTGATTAAAACGCGTCCATGCGTCAGAGTGTTGAGTAAAAATGTATGAAGCTCATTTAAGTTTCCATGAGAAGCTGGAAAGCAGAATTCTGAAGTTTTTCCCAGGCTTCACCAGAGCTTAGTTGAGTAGCCCCCAGGGGGAACCCTAGTCCTGGTCACTGCTGCTTGGTGAGTAGTGTGGGCAATGGTGACTGGTTGCACAGCAGGGGTTTTCAAAGAAGAGTTGGAGCAGGTCTGCAGAGTGGTGGTGGAGGACATCTTGTGCACCATGCTTCCATTTTCCATCTCCACAGATTCCCCTTGGAAAAATGAATAGGACCATAAAATAAACCTTTTGACTTAGTGATACAGTAGTTTAAAAGAAAAATTCAGATTCTTACACCAGATGGTCAATTATTGAGAGGACCTCTTTTTCACACATTTGTTTGATTCACTCATTCATAAGATTACAATGGCCCCCGCCTAACAGACCTCCCGTATAAGGGATTTTTGCCAAACAGACCAGCTCTGCAAGCAGTTTTTCCTCCTGCCCAACAGACAAAATCCACCAAACAGACTTCTTTTGGTTTGAAATTATTGTTGAAAATTGAAATTTTTAATTTTTTATGTAATTGAATTTGTGTAAAGGACTTTTTGTCTAACAGACTTGTCCCTTGCACAAATCAAGTCTGTTAGACGGGGGTTGACTGTACAATATTCACATCTAACATCTAATGGCACCATACCTAACCTGATCCAACAATCACCTCATATTAAACAAAGCATCAACTTTAAAGCTAGGAACACAACACTTATAGGAGGCAAAACAATACTAAAAAGAAAGGGAAATTCTTAGGGAGAAACAATTCAAAATCTTCAAATGTCTTGAATACCTGCCCAGAAGAGCATAAAAGCAATCAAGACCAGTGTCTTGTGGCAATTGGCACTATGATTAAAGTTTGCTCTTGAATGCTTACATTGAAATCATGTTCATAAAAATATAAAACAGGGAATCTGATATGTGTTTGCTGATTGTGATTCAATGCCAAAAATTGTTTGCAACAGTGAAGTGCTTGTTTGACCCATGTATTTAGGTTGATGTTGCTTTCATGTGCATTCTGAAGGTATGTCATCAAATGACACTTTATATTATTATATAATTTGTTACTTTATATGTTCACACTGTGGCATTTATTTAAATACAGTACTGAATAGTTCTTGAAGAAAGTTTAAAGCTGTTTTTTATTACCTGATCTTATTGGAATGAGCACAGATAAGTTGACAAATGCAGATGGAATACAGAGTGACTATGATGCATGACTGAGGATTCAACTTCTATGGATTTTGGCAAAGGAAATCTTGAGATGAGTACCTAAACATGCAAATGAATAACTTAGACTTGTATAGAGGACACTAGGTAGGAAGGCCTTTTTCATATGAACTGAATACCTTTTACCCAGAGTAGATGAGCAATAACCTTTGTTGAAATTTAAGCTTAGAATTGGCATACATTTTCACCCTGTTCACAACAGTACCATTAACACACCAGCAAAATAGCAGAAGAGTTATGCCATGTAGAAACAAGCCATTTTATAAAGTCTTGCAGTTCAACCACTTTGCAATTTGACCCTATTCCAACAACTAATTAGGTTCAAATTTTATGGTATAACACCTATAGCTGTAAGTATGTGGAACTACAGCTGTGTCCAGGATGAAATGAAGACATATTTTCAAATTCTTCAGATAAATTCAGTCAGAATAAGCCTATCTCAAAAAATAAATCAAACCTTGAACTGTTGAATAAAAAAAAACACAGATGGAACAATTGAAACCATAACTCACTGGTCTCTTCCCTATGAACCTCTCTCCTCTGATCACCTGCCTCACCATCTACATGATCAACATCTTGATCAATGCTTAGTTTTCCCAGATTGATGAAATCATCTCCAGCTGCATCATCATGCTGTGGCTCTTCAGGGTACAGCAAATCTCCACTTTTATAATGATCCAGGTCTGGTGTGGTGGGTCTGTTATTTTGAACCCTATGGTTACTGTTGGGGCTTGGTCCTTCATCCCAGGCCACTATGCTGGAGCGCATGTGGTTCTTGACTTGTCTTTGCTGATGGTGTGGAGATTCTTTGGTCTCTGGTGTCCAGTCTCCAACACAGATGCTTGAGCCTCCACCAGGGGGCTGAAGAACTCTGAGGGGGGTTTACAAAGTGAAAAACTTTGCTCAAAAACATGACTATTCTACAGGATACACACATTGAATGCCTCATTATGACAGCTTTCTAATTTTCATCCATGTGGCTTTCTTATTAGAAGTTCAATAATTCTTTCAACCACACTTTTGAAAATGGAATGGTAACACTATTGAAGAAATGCAATCACTTTCTTATACTGTATATATGCATTTTTATTGTATGCCAATATCAAAAGTCTTTAGCACAAGTCTTGAATTCACACATTTTCAGTATAATGATGAATGTAGAACAAGCTCAGGGAAACTATTTCAATAAGTAAGGTAAGTTGTTCTTCAAAATATATTCTAGAGATTTCAAGTTTGAATGTGATTGATGCTTGACTTATAGATGTAAAATAAATCTTCCTCACCATATATATATGCCATTCACTTTCAGTGGGATGATTGTTACAAGAAACAAAGCCACTGATGATGGGATTTGCAATGAAAATTATTTTGCTAGCTCAAATTCACTGAAGAAAACTGCAAATACAGTCAACCCCCATCTAACGGACTTGATTGTGCAAGGGACGAGTCTGTTAGACAAAAAGTCCTTTACACGAATTCAATTACATAACAAATTAAAAATTTCAATTTTCAACACTAATTTTAACCAAAAGAAGTCAGTTTGGCAGATTTTGTCTGTTGGGCAGGAGGAAAAACTGCTTGCAGAGCTGGTCTGTTTGGCGAAAATCCCTTACACGGGAGGTCTGTTAGGCAGGGGGCCACTGTACTTTACAATTGTACATCAGCATTGCAGCTATGGATCAGAGACCTATAGGGAAATATCTATGTGCAATTCTGACCATATTCCTTGCAACAAGGCATACTATTACAAGAGACACAGAATAATGAACATGACCAAGACATTGTAAAAAAGACTGACATTGTGAAAGGACTGAGACATAGCAATAAAACGTAGACATTATCACAAGAAACAAAGTAACAAGAGGATTCTTTTGCAAATGAAGGAATACCCACCTGTGATGCACAGCAAGAAGATATATTGTGAAAAATATTTTTAGAATATACATTTTTAATAAGGTAGATTGTGACAAGATGCATTTTAATGAAAAACCTCTGCTGTATATATGAAGGAGTATACCAACCTGTGATGCATTGACAGCCTCTCCATATTATCAGCAGTTATCAGCTGATGCCTTGAACTGGATTCACTTTGGCCAACACAATGAGAATCTGCACACAAAAAATGCACCAATAAAAATACTGTTTGTTAAAATTATTATCCAATTGCAATTTGAAGCATCAGAATAAATTCAACAGTCCACTAAACAAATTTAGATTCTTCCACTGCACTGGACACTTAGTACACACAGTACTTGTGTATATTCTCATGAATAGTCACCATCACAATAAATACAGCTGGACTCTCTCAATAACCAAAATTTCAAGGGCCCAGAAAAAATCCTTATAAGGAGAATTTTGTGTTGCAGAAACCCTATAATTTAAACCAAAAAAATTTTTATCTATAGGAATTTTTGGTTGTCAAGATTTTTTTTTTTTTTTTAGATGGAGTCAATCTCAGGTCAAGAAGAATTTGAAGCTGAACCACACATTAAAAAAATACACACAAGCAATTTTTTTGTGGGTTCCATATGATGATGATTAGGAAAGCAAGAGAGAAACGAAAATGCGAGGAGGAAAACAGAGCCCAGACACCAGCAGCAGACAGACTGGGGTGCTGAAGCAGCCAAAACCAGAGAGCCACTGGCTCGGAATTGTGCCGGTGTGGGAAGAAAACAATCACACTAATGACAAAAAAGGGCAAGTGAAACGGCTTCATTTTGTTGGGGTGATTTTCTTTTTTTCGTGTTTATTTTCTTGTTTTAACACGTGCACTTGTATATATATATATATTTTTTTATTTCATTGCGCGAATGTATATACATTTTTTTTCTCTCTTCCCCTGCTCTGAGCCGGCCACGGATGAATCACCGCCGTTTTCGCTGGCGGCGGCGCCGCCCCGGCGTTCACGGCCACCAGCAAGAGGCCCACGCACTCCAAAAAAGAAACTCGAAACGAATCCTGGTTGTGCAACCCTGGGACTCAGACTCGAATGCAGAATCAGCTTTTCTCTTATAATATATATATGCAGGTTGAATCTCTGTACTACAAGAGTCAGTGGATCAGAAACAAATTCGTTGGAGAAGGCATTTTCTTGTAGAAAGAATTTCGTTGTAGAAAGAACATTGCTATATAGAAATGAATGAATGAATGAACAGAACACTTTATTTGTCGCTTTTCAGCGTTCACAAGGTTCAATCAACGTATAGAACATATTGTTGAATAGAGAATTTATGAATTTAAAAAATGCTGGTCCCAGCAAACAGTTTATTCTCTGTAGGTGCCATGTTATAAAAATTTCATTTCAACAAACTCATTCATAGGCTGGAAAGTAATTATGAAGTAGTTTGGCCTGATATTTTGTGCATAGACCATGATGATTATTTGATGAACGTAAGAAGAATGTGGGAAAAAATGAAAGCATGCAGCTTCCCATCTTCATTCACAAAGCTTATCATCTTATGTATAAATAATACTTCGTGTTAAAATGTGTACAGCTACAGCATGAAAAAGATTCTGGAAATTCTTCAGCTACATTTTTTAAGGCATGTCTTTTTTTCAAATAAACAATATGCCAGAAAATATTTGCATCTATTTGGAAGAATACACAGGTAAAATTAATGAATGAGTTGATTCAGAAGGTGGTACCTTGAAATCTGACCATAATCTGTTGTTGGGTTACGGTTAAATTGCAAAGCAGTCAAATTGCAATACAACATCAAATGGCATTTTTTCTACATGGCATTTCACATTTGATGTCTCTATATGGGTCAAATTATGTGGCCAATAACAAATTGAGAGTCAATCTCCCAGAAAATTCAACCATCATATTCAAACCATCAAACCATTCAAGCATCTAATAAATTGCAGGATAGTTGGATTGTGGGAGGTCAAATTGCAAGGTACCACCTTTACTGTAAAGAAGTAGTTCTAATATGACATGCGATTTTTCATTTAATTTTTCAAGACAAACAGCACTTTTGTAGAAAGGCAGGTATGATTAGGGAAAGTATATTATTGTTAAAATGTTTCTCATCATGTCATCAAAAATAAGTACCAATTATCATGACACAGGTCTAAATTGACTGTTTTGGACAAGGCACTTTCAAGAGCAATATTAATTACCCATTTCCCATAAAATGGTTTAATACTTTAAAGCAATGTTCCCTAACCTTTTTCGTTTGCAGACCACAACATTTTGATAAAATCCTTTGCAGACCAGCAATTTGTCCAAATATTCTTAAATACCTGCCATTGAGTCCTCAAAACAAAACTTGCAATGAAAAAATTAAGCAAAGAAATAAAAAGAAGCTAGATACAGTATAGGAATGGCTTTAAAAAATACAAAGCTGAATTTCAAAAAAGACTTCTATGTAAAATTTAAAACTTAACATATGTTTCAGAAAGGCAAAAACATACCTGAAGTGTCAAGTACATAATGAGAAGAACATAAACTTTTTTCTCAGATAATTTCAGTTGCCATTTTTTTTCCAAAATCGCAGATAATTGAGGATAACAGGCTTCTTCTACAACTTCTATAAATGTATCATACAAAAGAAATTTTCCCGCGAACCAGCAAACAACTTCTGCAGACCACAGATTATTGGGGAACACTGGTTTAAAGTGTTTTAAAAACCATGGATCTTGATGTACAACACATTTTTCATCAATATGAATTTTCATCAATTTTCATTCAGGTAGTTCCGTGCAACAAGATTTACCTGTGCACTGTATTTCCCCAAAGCCATCACTTTCCTCTCTCATCACAAACAAGAACAACCACGTTGTGTCCTACACCCAGGGTTGTTCCGAATCCCTCCCAGAAAACCATCAAACCCACGCACGTGACACGTATACGTATCAGTACCCACACCAACAGCATGCAGGCATTGATAAACTGACTCGTCCAAAGGAAAGAAGGATGAGAAAGGAAGAAATAGGACCAAACTCACGAAGAACAAGAAGAAGAAAAACGGGAGGCATGGAAAAAGCAGAGGATGGACAAACAGGAAGAGGAAGAAGAAGGAAGAACAAGGAGGGGGGGGGGAGGGGAGGAAGAAAGGACACTTACTGACGGCTTGGAAGACGGGATCTGTGGGCAGAAAGGCCGTAGAGGGGAACAAGTCGGTTGATGCCCTCCCACGCGGGTTGCTGATGGCGGTGCTGCTGCTGATGTTGAAGGAATCCACTGGCTTGAAAGCTGAACACATTTGGTGATTCTGCTGATGCTGGTACTGGTTCATCAAAACGGGTACACCACCCTGGCTCTGCTAAAAATGAAAAAAAAAGCCAATGACAAATCTGGTACTGGAAGTCCTGAAAGTCCTGTACTGTACAGAACTTCCACACAAAAGAGGCTTTGAAAAAAAAAGAAGGGGAACATCTTCCAGCAGCATCCAATATCTGGAAGTCCTGAAAGTCCTGTACTGCACAGAACTTCCAGACAAAAGAGGCTTTGAAAAAAAGAAACAAAAAAGGGGGAAAATCTTCCAGCATCACCCTATATCTGGAAGTCCTGAAAATCCTGTACTGTACAGAACTTCCAGACAAAAGAGGCTTTGAAAATAACAAAAAGGGGGAAAATATTCTGGCATTCTATATGGATATATATGAAGCTTATTTTTCTTTATTAAGTATTCCCTGTATCATAACAGCAATGCTTAGCTTTATCTCTCTTATCTGCTGCCAGCATTTCATGAATCTTCATTAAGCACCAAGAAATATTCTTTGCCTCATACAAAACATGTTGTGGAGTATTTTTTTGCCTGAATAAAGTCCCAAAAATTCCTGAAGACAAAATTGTCTTTTTAATGGAAGAAAAAAATATTTTCTGGACTTCAAGAAAGGTATTTTTACACCAGTGTTCCATTTCTCATCTCATGGAAATTAAATCCTGATTTAACTCTGCCTACATTTCATTATGATTCTTTCTCATATCAAGGTACTGTATATATATATGTAGTGCTTCATAGAAAAAATGTGGAATAGGATTTGCATATGAAAACATTACTATATATGCACAAAAATTGAAGAAAAAAGCGGAGTTGTACATGAATGGGAGAAAGGTATTCTGGCCTTGAAGTAATTATTCTTGACATCAGTTTTCAATATACTGTATCATCACAGTTATCTGCAATTTCAACAAACATTTCATGATTCTTCATTTTCACTCAAAAAAATTTTGTGGAATAGGCTTGACATAAAAAGGTGTGATCTGGTCTCATCAAGATATTAACAGTCATAAATCAGAAACTTTTCAGATGAAGACTCTTTTTTTAAAATCTTAAGAGGACAAAGATAAACTGTTAGCCTACTTATATGATATCTCATCACTATTTTCTCCAAATTGTTTAATCAATTAAACCTTCTCTGGGAGCAGGCTGAACACCTTGTACTTTAATTCAGGTTCAGCAATTGCCTTATGCTGCAGTTTTCATTGGTGATATTTTTTTGCAATCAGGGAGTGCTGGAAGAAAGCATATGTATTTACATCAATTGTCCAATTGTATATGCATATATTTTGGGATGTACTTTATTTTCTTTTAATATCCATATACAGTACAGCATATATGTCATTTTTCTATTTTGACTTGATGGAATGTGTTTGAATGAATGTGGATGGGCAGGGGAGGGGGTTTTGATGTGGGGAACATTGTTTGAGCCATTGAGAATGCTACAAAGCAGAAAATAAAGCTTGCTGCTCAATTCAATTCAATATGAAGAATTCAATTTGCCCCACATTTAAACCAATTCAAAAAGGAACAATTTTCCAGACGGCATATGGACAATAAATTTAAATCCCCTGGCAAAGATTCTAGGATGAATCAATGATAGAAACTTCATGTCATGTATGTCATGGAGTGTTTCAAAGGTGTTCTTGAAAAATCTCTGTTGATTCAATGGGAACGTCTTACTTGGGTGCTGCTTTCATGAAGCAGTGACATCTTCAAATAATCGAAACTAGATATGTTCTCATTTTAGAAACTGAATGAATAGAACATGCATTTGTTGAGGCATTGAGATCAGGTGCTGCAGTACTAAACTCGTATACCTGACTTCTAAGAGAAAACCAGAAAATCTAAAATCAGTTTCTTCTTACCTCAGTAGGAGTCAGGAGAACATTTATTGTTAACACTCAACAGAAACTTGATGAGGTATGGTATTGAAATGAGTTTTCCATCTGTCAAAGATGAATTGCAATTGGTACAGTTTACCTGTGGCTGAGAGGCAACAAGGGAGAAGGCCCTTCATTTAAGAAGGTTCTCAGGATATTCATTTTAAGTAGATAAAGGCAGGGACTGAAAAACTGACAGACCAAAGTGACTTTGGTAGGTTTGAGTTGAATGAGGCTCAACTCTACTTAAGAAGCTGAAAGCAGTGGAATAATTTGTCAAATTATTTTAAAAACTGGTACACATCATGAGGTCTTAAATCCATGTAGAAATTTTGGTTGTTATTTTTAGGCACCCAGCCCAGTAGCTTTCCAACATTCAGAAACTACACACAATTTGGATAATCCTGATTATACCACTGTAAAAGTGTACATGAAAGTATGGCAATATCAGTAAACAATATTGATGGACACCAAGCACAGCAAATATGACTTGAATTTGGACCATTCAAAGTCAATATGTGGACAAATTTCAGTGTCCCTACAAACCATTTTCAACACATCAAACCCCAATGTTAACCAATTCTGGTGCATACAGCTTTTAATTTCATCTCTGAAAACATTAACTAATCTTTGTGAAGTCTTCACCTGCAGAGGTGTAATAGAGGGTCTTAAATATAAAATAAAAATATTGCAGCAGAGTTCCCCATCTTCAAAAAGAATGCTTTACAGTATACCACACTTGTACCTCTCAAGATCAAACCCCCATATTCTTGAGTTTTATAATCTCAAACAAAATTTTAATGCATGGTTTCTAATAACCTCCATATCCTGATAGTTTATAGTACAGTCAACCCTTGCACAATGGGCTTACTTGAATGAATGAATGAACAGAACACTTTATTTGCCGCTTTTCAGCGTTCACAAGGCACAAGGGCTTACTTTGTGCAACATACTAGCCTGTTGTGTGAAAATTTTGTTATGCAAATTCAATTATTACAAAATATTTTTTTTCTTTTCACCATTCAATTTAAACCAACAGCAGTCTGTTATGAAGATGTAGTCCATTGCATGGGAGGGAAAACTGCCTCTAGATACAGTCAGTTGTGCAAAAATCCATTTTGCAGGGGGTGACTGTATTACAATTGATAGTTTTTCTAACCTCCGCCAATAATTTGAAACCTTTCTCAAGTCAATTTTGTTGTTTGTGGTCTCTTGAAACCCAACATACATAGGCATGACAGTGTTATGACAAAAATGCTTCATTAGTTCTTCTACTGATCAAAGATCTATACAGTTTGCCAGCAAATCTTGAAAAGCACCTTATTAGTGTTGCTCACATGATGAGGCTGGTGACTCCAGTGGTGGTTCTTGAAGTTATAATTCTGCACCACACCAGAGTAGTTGGGAGCAGGGATTGGGAAATCAGGTGAGGTGTGCATTGGTAATGTCCTTCCAGCTGTGAACTGCTACACAATTTTCATTTCCCGTCAAAGAGGTTCCTTGGGTGAAGAATTTTGAAGGTTATGACAGACGAGGTATGAAAGGAGATTACTACAAAGACTTTTATAGCAAAGAATGGGGAAAATGTCAAGTGCAGCGAGATTGAGGCGGAAATAAAATTTCAGTGAAAATTAGGGAAGAACGGAAGCAGTTCCAGTGAAATAAAGGATTCCGGGAAGGAAAATTAAGGAAAGCCTCTTCAAAGGTTTTCAAATGAAAAAGAGCAATATTCATGTAAGTGTGTATTTTTTCTTTTCCCATCAGCCTCTTTGATGGCAATTCTCAATCATAACATCAGCATCAAAACACAGTCATCATAGCACACACTTCTGTCTCAGCACCCATACAAATTGGCCATAATATAAGATTGCTGAGAAGCATGAATTCAAGGATTAGGTTTATTGAAAGACAATGCATCAATCACTGTATCACCATCAAAAGCGAATCTCTTAGAGAGTCAAAAAAAAAAATGCGAGAACCCAGGGTTGCAATGATGAACTTGAGAGGGAAGATGTCTCATCATCAACGCCTTGCCATTTTTGTCACAGTTCTGAAAAAATGTGAAAACTGCATTCTCAAAAAACTGGAAAAATATGATAAATTTCTGCAGGTATTAAAATGACTCACAATACACTTTGTGAGGAGTGACTCTGCATGACAACCCTGCTGATTTTGTGTCCACTTTTGTCTCTCACTTCTTCCACTGTCAACCTTTTATCCTCAGCACCTTTGACTTCTCTGACTCCTTTCCATGGACCACCTGAAGACAATGAAGCAACAAAATATTATCTTCAATAATGTTCGCATGATATTGTAAAATATTGTACTTCAGCAGTGAAAACTGAAATGTATAAAGATATGCAGCAGAGAATTTTGTCTCAATGAAAAACTAAGCAAAGCTAATTTTTCATTCTGAATCATTTAAGTTTGACCAAAGATTTAGGGATTTCTAAAAAGACAGGTCCAAAATCGTTTTGAATATCTAGCATTACATTTTAATAAGTACAGTAAGTTTTTGTGTGCCAAATAAGTCAAAGTATTTCAAAAGATCAGACACTTGAAAAAATCTATGGAAAAACAAAGTAAAGATGATATTTAACATAGAAACATTTTGGTTGCACCCAAAATCTTGAAAGTTCCAGAAAAAGGGCAAAACTATTTTGAAAATCCAGTATCGGATTTTATGAAGTCAGTTTTTTTACTGGGAGAAAGTGGGTAACAATCTTAGAAAATACTTCATCATGAAAATCTAATAAAAATAAGGGGAAAATAATATTGTATTGTGAAACATTCTGATTTCAAATAAGGTCTTGGGAGTTCCAAAAAAAGTCCAAAATAGTTTTAAATACTTAGCATTGGATTTCTTCAAGGCTTTTTTTGCACTGGGTCAAAATGGGCCAAAAGCTCAGACCCGTGAATTAATGTCACTGTTCCCCTTGACCTCTCAGCATGACATTTTTGTTGAACCCTAAAATATATTCCTCCTTGGAAGCATATTTTTTATATCAACAAATTAAATTATGAACCTTATAGATCCAGATTATTGTGATGAACTCTGGAGAAAAGTTTCCATTTCCCAGAGGATCAGAATTTTTACTGAAATTTCAAAGTTAACAAATTCAACAACAAATAGCTTGGCATTTCCACCAGAATGGTCAAAGAAGAAACAGTTTTTGTTCAGACTGACCCAGAATCAAGCATGAGGAAAAGTTGTTCAACTGCTGACCTGAAAGGACTTCCCGAGCAGCCATGACCCTGCTTTTCACCCCCTCAGTTGTCACAGTCTGAGTCCCACTCAGCGTTGAGGTGACAGTTCTTTTGACATACTGGTTCCCACCAGATGTTGTCTGGGTGCTATTTGGGCCAGAGGTTGAGTCCTGGGTCACTGGCACCAAAGCTGATGAGGACTGACCAACAGGTGACCCATTGTCATCTGCATCTTCCTCCACAATCTCTGATATGATGAGGTCACCATTCCTCACATTCAGCTCAGGTGGACTTGATAATGTTTTCTTGTCATCACCTTGAAAAATATGGGTACATAAAATATAGGAAATAAAATATATCAGAAAATTCGCTTTCTGTAAACATTTAATACACATTACAAAAAACTCATATATGCGGACTTCAGAAAAATTTGTCATGATGAATGTGTTGTAACTATGGGAAGATTGTTTTAAATTGAAGCTGCATTTATTCAAGATCTTCCTGTTGTGACCTTTTTCAGATGTTTTTTCATGCTTCAAAACTGTGATCTTCATATATAAATTATGATTTCATTAAAAAAATATTTGCTCAAAAAAAAAGGAAAACACTTGCACTTTTAGTGGACTTTGAATTTTTCTGAGCAATTCTGCACGGATTTAGCAAGGTGGATGCTCCAAAAAAGGAAGGGTTTCTGAAGCATTCAACCTGCAAACAAGTCCTGCACCCCTTTTAACAAGAGGTTTGCAGGGCCAATTTTTTTTTATCTAAAGCCTACCCATATTCTTTAATTGACGAATATTTTTGAAAGAGAAGATTTTCAGGTGAATTTTAATGAATTTTTGTCCCTGATTCCACTTACCAATTATGTCCCAAGAAACAAAGTCATATTTTGAATTGAAAATTCAAGACTGTGCCAGCCTCTATTGGTGATTTTTCAATTGGAAATTCACATGTTCATCAAAAGACTTGGATATACTGGAATTCGAGAGTCTGTTGTAAAAATAGAAAATTCACATGCATCCTATATGTAGGATTTCTGGCAAAAACGTTTGCTGTACTCAAACTATTGTTGCAATGGTATTCATTTGATGAACTTTTTTTTCCATTATTGAGGATGAAATACCTTGATTAGAGCTTGAAAGAACATGTGGTGGTGAATCATCAACAATTGGCAAGAGTTTGGATGGTGTTCCATTTTCATTTTCAGCAACAGAGATATTTCTTTTCCCATTGCTAACTTTCCTAAAGCTGAACAAGTTGGGACAAGGATAAAAGTTGTCTGAACAAGCATCAAGGAGACCCTCATTGCTGGCAGTGAGTCTTGATGAGGTGGTCTTTGGCACACTGTAATCCTTCAAAGGCATGTAGGGACTGCTGGAGTCCACAGGCTGATTAGGTGAATGATGCAGCCTGGCATTGGCAGACTCAGCTCTTCTTCCAGAACCCTTACTGTTTGACTGTCTGGAAGCCCTCAGTCTGACTGGTCCACCATCTTCTCTTTCTACCCTGGAATGCTTGTTGCTGATGTCTGCAAAGCGCCTTGAAGAAATGCTGGGTGCTGAGTGGACTGAAGAGCTTGGTGAGACCAGCCTTTTTGAAGCCATTTTCAGGATGTCCTGAGCTTTGCTTTCTGCTGAAGAAGTTTTAGAAATTGCAGGTCTTCTGTCCTTTGAAGAGCCTCTGGATTGGCTTTGAACAGAAGGTATCTTGACATCTTTCAGAGGGTGTTGATAAACTGGGACTTCTTTCCTGCTGGAAAACCCTGTGGAAGAAAAAATAATAATTTCAGACTTGAGTCACACAGACATATATGATACTGTGTTAAATGTGATATTAATATTACTCAGGATATTCATAAAAATGATTGAAACTTCAAACATAAGTCATTCCCTTGTATGGTTCATATACAGTTTCAATAATCAGATGAAGCATATAAAATATACATGAAAAACAAACAATCAATGGAATTTAAACTAGTGTTCCTCAGCAGGTTGCTTGTGGACCAGCGTGGTTCTGCAACATTTTTTTGCTGGTCCATAGGAAATTGTCTTCAGAATAATAGATTTATAAAAGTAGTAAGGAATTCTGCTAACTTTATTTTCAATTTTTGGAAAGATAATGGCAGTTAAAATTATCTGATGAAGAAAAATTTGGCGTTTCTCCTGAAAACCCTCCAGACAAATTGTCACCTTCTCAAATAAATAATTTGATTTTCATTTTCAAGAAACATTTCTAAATTTTATAAACATCCCACTACAGTATATATAGCTGCTTCATTGATTATCAACTTAAATTTTTAAAAAAGTAGAAACTATACAAAAACTTTCCACTTTTCATTCAAACAAAAATTTCTGAAACTGCAATAATTTTATGAAAGTCTTCTGACAGTCTGCAGAAAATGCTTTGTAATTTTTTTGGTCTGCAAAAACCTTTTATGCTGGAAATTTACAGTCCAAAGGACCAAAGAAGCAGGGAACACAGATTCATAGCACAGTTCAGCATGGACTAAGCATAGCATAGACTCAGTTTGTTGGGTTTTTGTGTGGGAAAAAATACTTTCTGGTTGTTGTGTTGGTAATTAAGGGCACCATTTTGTACCTTACGGCACCAGCAGGAATGTCAAAAGAAAAGGGAAGTACTGCAATTCATACATAAATACCCTGAAATTAAATGTGAAGTCCACACAAAAGCAATCAGCCATGCACTGCAAAGATTTATAAAGAAGCCTTGCTTTTCTGAATTACCCAGATTTCAAAATTAATCTTTTTTTTACACATTTGAATAGAATTTAGCTCATTCGAAAATGAAATTTAATAAATAAATGGGAAGTATTTTACAGTGGAGTCTCAGCTGATGAAGGTGCCTGCTAAAGTTTTTTCAGAGACAAACTTGCAGTTTTTTGGTTTGCCTTAAGCCTGAAGACATGTGGGGAAAAAATACAAAATATGAATTATTGGAATTTTTCCAACCCATCTTGTAATGAATATTGTCTTGTAATGAATATTCCAACAAAGAAAGATTATGCTGGAAGAAATTGTCCTTGTTGACCAAAACGTCACAGTACATTTTTACTGCGCAATTGAATTCATTTCTGTGTTACTTGAGATTCATGTTTTTTGGGCATTTAAAATTTAAACATGAAGACATGCCTTGAGATGCATGGGCTTGTCTGCTATGCCCAGCATACAGCTGATCTGGCTTTCTACCTTTGATATCCTGTTTTCCCTTGCTGATATTGACAATGTCTGAAAGCCACTGAGGAGCCAAACGACTTTTGGCACTGCTGGAAATGGTGGGAGCACAAGCCCTGGACTTGCCAGAGTCTCTGGAAAGTTTCCCATTAGCACTTCCTTTGTTGCTTGAGCGCCTTTTCAAACTGCCAGAGGATTTAGTGCTTTGAGTCTTGGGGGTCTGAGGAAGCTCTGGTTTGTTCAGGTCCAATTCAGCTGGCTTCAATTTGGGAGAAAGATCCAGTTTCACAGTAGGCTTAGCTTCTTTCAGGTCATTCAAGGACCTGGGGTAGTGCTCTTCTTGAGACTTTGTACTTGACTGAACTTCAGCCCTGAAAGAAAAACAATTGCATTCAAAATTGCCAGCATAAATTAATTTGAATCAGAATTCATCACACTTACCTCTCAAGCAATCTGAGTGGCGCATTTGGTGTCACCAAAGATGCTGGTATTTTTGCCAGGAGCTCAGAGCTTCTGCCAGGTATGGTGTCATACTTGGGCTTCACTTGCTCCTTGATTCTTGCAGAGCTTGGAGAAGAAGGACAAGACTGAGAAAGCAGGGCTGAGGACTTTAACTTGCTGATGGAATCTTTGGATGGTAATTGTCTTATCTTGTCCATGTGTTCCATCAGTGACAGAGCAGGTGCTGTTCTTGTGTCCTGGTCTGCTGAGTTATCCTTTGAGGGAGACTGAGATTCTACTGGGGATAGAAGAAATAATATTCACATCAGCATAAAGAAGGATATTTGTGGTCATCATGCCAAGAATCTTGACTTGGGCATCATGACTAACAGTTGACATCAACTAGTAAGCAATGATGGACAACTGTTGTGGCAAGCAGTAGGGAGATTGTTCCAGACTAGTTACTCATGAAGGACTTGAGGGCCTTGGGCTTGTACCCTGCCCAATCTTGCATGGGTACTAATCATGGACCATCAAACATCTACAAGTGGGACCCCAAGATGCAGATAGTAATTGGTGCATGGACAGTGTCACTATATGTTCAGAACATCTGCATGCCAGACCTCATTTCCCCATGGACTCCAATGCAAATATTTTTAATTGGTTCTTGAATGAATGAACAGAACACTTTATTTGCCACTTTTCAGCGTTCACAAGGCACAACCAAGTCTCCCGCATCCAAACCCCCTCCCCACGCATTGTTTCTTTTGTAGATGAAGAGTCAGGCAAAAGTCCTTCAGAAGATTGAAAAAAAAATTCTCAACTCCAAGAAAAAGAAAATAAATGTACAGAAGTAAATTGTGCAGAATCTGATCTTTTGGTATCAGAAGGATCTCAAGAAGCAAAGGATAAGAACAAATGTTAGTGTATCTACTGAGCACACATGATGGAAAAACTTAGAAAAGAATTGCAAAATTCGCCTTTTTTGATTAAGAAACAAGGAATTTTCATAATGAAATTAACTATTGCATTTATCAATGTGAATGGCTCAATTTCTTCATAAATACAAAAATTCAAATAAGATTTTAATCATTTCAAAAATTTTGGAAAATTGTCCATATCTTGAGTCACTGTGTGAATGTTGAGGGCAGATTTGTTTGGTGGCAAGTGTCCCAATGTTAAATTGTCCATGTATGTTGGGGTGTTTGTACTTCAGGCTCTCACTTTGTTTGCCAAAAATACCTTGGACTCCAACTCCCACATTATTTGCTGGGTATATTCTCTAAAAGTGCAAGGTTGCAGAGTGATTGGTTTGCCATCAAGATGCAGAAGCTGTGAGGGTGCTTGTTCAGTGCCTGCTTGCAAAATGTTTCTTTTTCTTCTAAAAAAAAATAATGATCATCCAACCTTTTGTTCACATATTTTAATCCTTTGAAAGGATGAGTCAGGTCTGACTGAGATCAGCTACCCCAAGCCAAAGACTGATGCATGATTAGCAGATATGTCTTTATGTCTTTGCCTTGGCTGGAAGTTGAGGGCTTTCATCTCCTCCAAAATGCTTCTTTGGAGCATGTTGTCAAGCTTTGTCCCAGGTGGACAAGACTTGTTAATTTTAGTTGCTTCTATTGAGCTGACTATTTCAACTGGTTTCTCTCTGGGAAACTTTTTCCTCATGTCCCAGGAGCCAGAGTTGGTTATCAGGACAACCTTGGCTGTACAGATTATGGATAAATTTGTTAGTGGTTAGTCAGCAAATGGAATCTAACTTACGTCCATTGCAGGAATCATTCTTGGGCAAGTTTTCATTCTCAATCTTGGCATGTTTTGAGCCACTGATTGACATGCGCAATTCCATCAAAAAAGCCTCGGGTTTTTCACTATGTTCCTCTGAAGGTTTACTAGGATGAGGGTCTTTTGAAATCCTTATTGAAGCCTGATCTGATTTTGAAGAAGGTTTCACATCAACAGTGGAATTTGGGGCTGGTTCGAAACAAGATCGCAGTTTCTGCACAATATTTGCAGTATCCAGTGAAGAATTAATTTCAGAAGTAGGATTTTCCTTGGTTTCCTGAAGATTGACTCTTTTGGCTGGAAGAATACCCAGTGGAATATCCATGGTTGTTGATTTCTGTATGTTTTCTCCAAACAAATATGTTTTGAGCTTTTTTGAGTTTGAAGCTTCACTTGCACTATCATCAGTTTCTTCTATGGCAACAGCTTCCATCCATGAGACTCTCTTTTCATCAGCTGATTTGGGTTTTGACGAATCTTCTTGATGGTCTGAATTTACTTCAGATGGGAAACTACTTCTCTTCTTTATTGTGTCTCTGGAGATCAGCTGCTGAGGCTTTGGACCTATTCAAGAGCAAAGCAAGCATCATACTCTAGCTCAAATTTTGAGGGATTGAGTGAAAGATGCTCACCATGTTTGTTTATGGTAGAGGTCGCTCCTTTCAGCTCCTTTTCATTGTCCTTTTCAGAGAAAAGGACATTCTCAATGCTTCTGCGCTTGAGGATGCTCTTGGGCTGGTTCCCTGAAGGAACTTCCTGAGCTTTAGCACCTGTTTCTGCAGAATCTTCTGAAAAAAAAGACATGCGAGATTTCAGCAAAGAATATTGAACCATGCACTTTTCACTGAGTGCATGCTGTCATTCAATTTTCAAATGCACAAAGAACGGCATTCACAAGATCACAACATTTAACCTCAGGACAGCACATGCATATTTCCCACCATATTATGGCAATTTTACAATATATTTTATAATGTTGGGACATTTTGGTTTGATAAGTCACCAAGTGCCAACTTGAGATGAGGAACTAAAGAAAAGTGTGTCTTTTTTGCTATGACTTTCTTTTACAATCCTGAGCACAGCAAACCAAGGGCTGAATTTTGTTTTACCTTCAGACTTCCCAGCTTCACTGTTACACTGAATTTGAAAAAAATGGGAGAAGTTTCCAATTTCCCATGCAAGAGATCAATGAAGAAAATAATAATAATTTTTCTTTAGCCCAGAATCCTAATCAGTAGTATATTTTACTTCCCAGCTCAACTATATTTTTCCCCCAGAGGAACACACTGTTGACAGAAAGTGTTCAATTACATTGCAAACATTTGATGAATTACATTTTCCATGGAGCAAGTAATCTGAATAAAAACAATTCTTGCAATGCTGTCCAAGAGTTGACATATTTGGAAGTGATATGGAAAGCAATGCAGACACAGTTGAACCTCCTCAAGGCAAACTCAGAGGGACCTAAAAATGTGGCTTAGAATATTTTTCAGTTACAAACAAAACTTTAAGTTGGGGGGGGGTTTGGAACAATTATAGAGCAATAGAGATAATTAGGGATAGAAAATTAGGTAATTTTTGGGCCTTGAACTGCTGAATAAATGAGTTTACAGGGTGCTGAACTTCAAAGTAAGGGTAAACCTGCCCAGTTATAGTCAGACAACTATTTTTTGAGAAACGCTGAGAAAGTTGGCACAGTGACATATTATTTGATTTGTCAATATCTTTGTTCCCACTAGATTAGAAGTCAGAAGGCCAGAATAAATTTGCGAAGCGGAAAATTTCAGAGGAATGTCTTAAAATTTGTAAGACCTCCATAGATTTCACAGTTCTTCAGAGCATTCAGATTGGGAGTGAAATAAATTAGGCAAAAATGCAGAGGTTTAAGTCAGCAAGATGTAACTGTGACACTTCAAGATAGAGAGGCAAATTGCAATATCAACAAAAAAGATCGTTTCAGAAACCTTCTTTTTTGCTGATGGAAGAATCATCACAGTTGGCAGCCTTGAGCACAGCAAAGCTGGGCATAGAAACTGGTCTGGCAGCCTTGATTTCTCTGTTCTCAGCCACAACATGTCGCAGTTTCACATTGAATGGCATCCCTGGAGCCTTTTTAGGCTCCTCTTTCACCATCTCATCAAGCACAATTTTGGGGGCAGTGTCCACCAGGTTCATCAATTCCTTTGTCTTTTGGTTGTGCTTTGTCAACAGGAGACTTGCTGAATTTGGCACAGTTTCTTCAATGATGACGCTTTTCATGGGTCCTGGTTTCTCTGGGTTTGAAGGACGTCTGAGAGTGATTTTGGAAAGAAAGGGTCCTTTGCTGGTGGAGTCCCTGAGACTCCGTCTTTCCTCCACATTTCTTATTGGTTGCAGATTGGTGTCAAGTTGGCATGATGAAGAGGATAGTGTTGGTGAAGGGTGATGGTTCTCATAACTATCAATCTTGATCACCACAGCAGGTTCATGTTGATTCTTCCTCCTGCAGTCAAAAAATCAACCCATTTTTGTGAATTATCCCTTCAGAAAAAAAGGGTGGTTGGAAGATTTACCTTTGGGTGAACAGAGCAGGTTTTGATTTCTGAATAGGACTGGTCCAAGGTCCTACCTCCAGAATGGTTTGAGGTTCAGAAGAAGTCTTGCTGGGATTCTGTAATAAGCATTGTCCTTTTGGAGTAGACCTCAGGGTCACCTTGTCTTTCCAGAAATTGGGTTCTTCAGCTTTTGAAGTTTTGGAAGGAAGAAGCTCCCAACAACCATGATGATCACTGGACAATTGCTGAAGCTTCTTTTTCTGGGTCTGGATTGAAGAATTGCTGCACAAGAAAGAATGCATATGAGTTTTAGATACATTTAAACTTTATTCTGCAAACAGACCCTTAGGTAAAAAAAAAATTGATTAACAAACTTTTTTCTGAGGAAAAATCCCAAATTTAAGAATTGAAAATACAATTTTACATTTATGGCATAATCTAAGTGCAAATATTCAACAATGCACTGATATTACAATTTCCTTCCTCGTGACACTCCTTCTTGTATGTAATCCTGTGTTTTAAAATTTGTTTCAGCTACATTAATCCTATGCTTCTCTGAGGCACAATGATTTGCTCTTTTGTGCATGGTTTTTTTTATTGTTCATCAATTGATGGGAAGGTTTATTTCATCTTTTCATACAGCATTAAAAAGATAAATTTCATTTTCCACCTCACATATGACCTTCAATTTGTTTTTATCTGTAAGTAAAGCTCTTTTATCTTTGCTTTCATCAGTGTAACTTCCATATAAAGCTGGAAAACAATTCTGGGCACATATTGATGAAGAGGATAAGTTGATGGATGCACCATTAACTTATTCTGCTTATTGTTGATGGTCTTGAGTTTTTTAAACTCAATGTTGAATTGTCTTTTGGGTTGACATAATGGATTGAATTATTTCTCATTGAAGTTTATATGGAAAAATCCAATTCCTGCAGTTGAAACCCTTTTCAGTTAACACACTTTTTTCTGGACCAATTAAATTTGTTAACCAAGGGTCTACTGTGTACACTTTTAAATCACAACCTGGAGCAATTAGAAGCTGTATAGTCCAACTGGTGTCCAAGTTTTGTATGGAAAAGGTACTTGTTCACTTCAGAACGTTCTCTGTCCAGGGTTGGACTTGATGCACACTTGGTCACTGATGAGGTGAGAAAGTTCTTGGAGAAGCTGCTGGAAGTGCTTGTGTCCCATTCATCAGGTTTTTGAATGTCCTTTGGATCCAAAGAGCTCAGGGACTTGCTTTTCTCTGAGCTTACCAAGAATGAGTTGTTCAGCAAGTCTTCAACACTTGGGCCAAGTTTTTCATGCTCCACTGATGGAAGAAAGGTGATATTTTTCCAGTAATTCGAATCACAAGCTTTTCTAACAGTACACTATAAATCAAAAACTCCCATTTGACTGCTGATCTTACTTTATACATCAAATTCAAACCATTACTCTCCCAAATCTCACAAAAGCAGGAATTTAATTGGCATAAAAAAGCTATTGTCAAGCTTGAAATAAATGAAGCATTTAAATGGGGACTTAATTAGGTGGTACAATATTTGAAAAATATTCCAAGTTCATTGATACAAGCTTCATTTGCTGTTTTCCAGCACTTATACAAGGTTCAAAACCTTTTCCTCACTCATAGAAGAATATTAAAAAATTCACTGTAAGGGTATTTAAAAAATACATTACAGTACTATAAAAATGCATTGATAATGAATTTCCACGACTTTTTGATAAACGTCACAGCAGAATTACTGATCACAAATTGTGTTCAGCCAGTTCCAGAAAAAAATTTCCATTTATTAAAAAATTTAGAAAGAATATTTCAGGGAAAATCTCATCAAGGTAACACTTTTTCCTGAATTTTGGTCCTCCATAATCTGGGTAAATAGTTTTCATTACTTTTTGAAAATCCTTCAAATGTTCTATCCTTGTGTAATTGTGTAATGCTGGGCATGAGAAAATGAGGCGTTTTGTGATTTAGCAATCAATATATTAAACTGCAGTACTTACACCAATTAGATACTCTAGAGAATTCAACAAAATTTCTATTGAAATACTATGAAATTTTTGATAGAGATAATTTGAGTTTACAAAAATTCTAAATGGGGGGAAAAGGTATTAAAGCAGTAAAAGCCCTGCTAGAGAGTCTAGCAAATGGTAATTTCAAGCATTTTCAGCTGGTTTAAAAATATCCCCACATTCAAAAATTTGCAAATATTACCAGACTCTGTAGGAGATCTTCTTGGTTCTGATGAGCTCCTGGGCTGGACACTGTTCACTTTCTTTCTTTGCAAAATAGTCTCCCTCACATTTGAGTGGCTCATCTTTGAACCCTGTCTTTGACACACTTTGTTTGTCAATTTTGATATTTCTGCATCAGCAGTGATTTGCAACAAATCCTGAACAGAGTTTTTCCTGATTCTGTCTCCAAGAGGAGTCCTCCTGTGGATGATTTCATTCAACCATGAGCTGGATCTTGAGCAAGACTCCACAGCAGGAATGGGCTCAGTATTCCTGTGCAATTCCTCTATTCTCTGCCTGCCGATTTCTATGGTTTCCTCTTGGAAATCCCTGACACAGCGCCGGAAATCAGCAAAGGATTGGGCTTGGTAAGTGTGGAACCTCTCTTGTTGATGCTGGTTGGTTACGTGGCTTTTGTCAGAAAAAACGCTGTCAATGTCATCATCTTCTGTGCTGGCTAATGACAGGAGAGTTTTTGATGGGCGCCTTCTTTGACCATGTGAACCGCTTCTTGCTATGCAGCCCTTGGTTTTGGCAGGTGTGTGGTCCAATGCAAACAGAGGCTTGAAAAAAAGGTCAAATCCAAATTTCAACATCTGGTTCAAAATGAGGAGATTATTTCAAAAGTTCAGGCAGAAACTCCATGGATACAATTATGAAGCAGTCTTTTTTTATAACAGAATACAATAATGAATAAATACAACCACAAAGTCAAAATTTAAGTATTTGACACAGTTTTTCCTTCTCACATCTTCCATGATTTCATGAATCATTCTTCTCCATTGAGTCCTTTCACAGCTTGAAATAAATGTTTATTACAGCTTTCAAAATTTGAAAGTAGTAAGGATTTTTCTGTCTTCTCTAAGAACTTATGCATTGGTTGAACTTCAGAGAGACAGTTCAATTTTAAAATTTTCCATTAAGTGACAGCATATCAACTTTTAGGTTTGATGCATTGCATTTTGTGTTTGAAAAATATGAAAATATAAAAATTGTAAAAAATTATTTTCATGCACAATTTGTAAAAATATTTGGGCTATGAAAATTAAAAAAAATTCTTTCAGAAAGCTTGATTTAAAAATGTTTGTAATTCACTTTTCCCTAGGAAATTTTAGAAAAATGATGGCAACTTTTGAAACCTAATTTTCATTCAAACAGGCAGAAGTATTCCTTTGCAACTCACCTTGACAGCCATGAAATCCAGGTCCTCAAGAGCAATTGACCCATCTGATGAGTTTCCCTTGAATGACCTGGACAAAGCGTCTCTTGATCCACTGGCGCCCTCTGTGGGTAAGCTTTGTCTCTTGGATTCATCCTCCAGACTTCTTCTGGTAGGCATCCAATCAGGACTCACGCATGCCTGAATGAAAGAAGGGTAAGAAACATTACTTCTTGATGCTTCAGTTTTATATGAATGAATTTTTTAAGGAACCTCAATTAAAGAAGGTCATGGTAATGTAATTTTATGCACAATAACGGAAATCCTTTGTAACAAGATTTCATCAGTTGCAGGAAGAATCTCATTTTAATGAACTCATCTTATAGCTGTAATTGCAGCACAATATTACAAAAGTTTGGCTTTCATCTTATGCATTGACCACCCAAATTACTTGATCAATGGTAGAAAAACTGAAAATTTCAACTGATGTGGGTTTCTGATTCCATGAAAGAAAAACTTTCTGCATAGGGAGAATTTAGCATTCCAAAAGATGCACAATTTGAAACAAGCTTTTGTGAAATTTTCAGCTCAATTCCAGAATGTATGTGTTTATTTAAAATAAACAGTATTGTATTTCAGAGAGATTTTTCTACACTGTATTTCCAGAATGGTTTTCTTGAATTTAAAAAACCCATTACCCATTTATTAAAGTTCTTATCTTAAAATGTGTTTAAAAAACCACAAATTTTCAAACACAAAATTTTCCAGCATAACAAATTGTTTATCTGGTCCCTGATGTCACAGGTTGACTAGATGTCACCCAAAGTACAAGTAATGCAGGTTGATGTGATGCACATCACACCACATTGATGAGCAAATACAAACTAAATACAAAACCAATTCAAATAAACCCTGATTGAAAACAAGTCAAAGAAACCTTCGAGAAATATTCCACACACCTGAATCACCACTTGATCAAAGGGATTAGGCTGAATTACAAACAGGGTAAGTGAATCATCCCTCATCAGAAAGCCTTGGAGAAAATTTTCACTGAGAGGGACCTGCATGCGGACAGAATCACCAGATTCAATTATCAAAAACTCTCTAGACATTGCACAAGTCAATACCAATTTTTGTGTGACAACTTGCGTGAATTCCATTGAAAAAAAAAGCATCAGTTTGTGAGGAGTTTGACACCTTGTCTGGCTGAAATGGCCAATTTAGCGATACAGTCAACCCCCACACAATGGACTTAATTCATGCAACAGACTAGTATGTTGTGTGAAAAGTCTATGGTGTGAATTAAATAATTTAAAATTTAAAATTTTTACTTCTGCCATTAATTTTAAACCAACAGAAGTCTGTCATTCAGATTAGGTCTGTTGTGCAGGAGAGAAAACTGCCTCCAGAGGCAGTCTGTTGCGCAAAAATCTGTTGCGCAGGATGTCTGCTGTAGGGGGGAAGGCTGTAAAGCAGTTGACCCCTGCACAACAGACCTTCCTCACATCAGATTTTTGCACAGCAGACCACCTCTGGAGGCAGTTTCCCCTTCCTCACAATTTAATAAATTTGCAACGCAGACTTCTGCAGGTTTGAAATGAATGCTAAAAAGTGAAAATTTCAATTTTTTAAATAATTGAATTTGCATAACAGATTTTACACACCAGACTATAGTCTGTTGCACAAATTAAAGTCTGTTGTGCGGGGGCTGACTGTACTTTTTATTCTATATAACACCCAATTCTTTATATGTGTGGTCTCTGGGACCCCTAACACCTCCTGGGAGCTATTGTATTTATATTTTACTGTATCAAATAAACCTGATGAAGTGGAACGATGAATGTTTCTGAGATTCGATGATGAGTCATGATGGATCCCTCATCCAAGTGTATGCCAAAACAGATGAATGGAAAAACAGCCATGAACCAAGAAAAAAAGTTGTCTTCTTTATATAACGAATTTTGTATCTGATCCCTGATGCTGGGAGTTTGTTGTAGCAAGTTCTTACTGTGTTAAATACTGTACACCAAAGGAAGTATGTTGAAACATTGAAGTTATTCATGTGATACACTAATGAGTCATCATTGATGGATCATCATCATCATCATAATTAATCTCTCTCACCAAGTGTACAGTATACTGAAAATGATGGAGGGAAAAACAGTCATGAACCTCAACAAAAAAAGTTCTCCATATAACAAATTTTGTATCTGATCCCTGATGCTGGGAGCTAGTTATAACAAGATTTTAATGTGCTAAATACTGTACACCAAATGAAGTATGTTGAATCATAGCAGTTATTCATGTGATTTAATAATGAGTCATCATTGATGAATCATTACCATCATCATATTCAATCCCTCTCACCAAGTGTATGCTGAAAATGATGGATGGAAAAACAGTCATGAACTTTGAAAACATTTTTTCTCCATAAAAAATTTTGTACATGATCCCTGATGCTGGGATTTTGTTGTTCCAATATTTTAATGTTCTAAATACTTTACACCAAAGGAAGTACTGTATGTTGAATCATGGCAGTTATTCATGTGATGCAATAATGAGTCATCATTGATGTATCATCATCATCATCATCATCATCATATTTAATCCCTCTCACCAAGTGTATGCCAAAACACGTGGAGGGGAAAAGCTTGCGACTGCTGGTGCAGTGCAAAAGAGCGACATCTGAACTCATCCTGCCGCCTGACGACGGGAAGGACAAATGACTCAGGGACAAAACCCCGCCGCAATGCGCACCGTCGCACGGGGTCTGCAGATTAATTCGCGGCTCGGCACTCGCCAAAACCCGGGGCATGCTGCGCAAAATCACGTTCTCGGATTTTGGCACACTCAGGTATTCCACATCCACGTCGGACGATGGCTGGAACAACACTTTTGGCTGCAAGTGACTCAACTGTTGCCCCATAATCTCGCGGGCGGGTAAAAAAGCAGGAAAATTGCCGCAGCCACTTTTTTTGTGTGTCACGTTTTGTTTTTGTTTTTTCTTTCTCTGTGCCACGATGATCATCACATTTTCAAAGTGCAGGTGTTGAAGAAATAAATCATTATTGACAACAAGAACAAAAAACCTCGAATATTACTTTTCTCGCCATTCAAAAGATATTCCGGATTATTTTCTTTGTAATTTTACTCAAGAATGCATCTAAAATATTCCAAAGAAAAATTTTCTATATCTGGAGTGCGACCATATTTGGAAACAATAACCTCACATGTAGGTCATGGAATTGTCAAACTTTCAAAATTTTACAAAATTATACGAGACTTTTGCTGTTCGGGAGCCTCAAACAAAACAAAAGATTTTCAAGAGATTCTTGTCTATTCCGACCAAAATCGCGTAAGAAATTCGAAATGAAAATTTATTTCACCAAATATAAAATTAGAAAAAATTGCATTTAATATCAAATGCAAAACTCAATTCAAGTATTAAAAAATTGAGAGTAGCATGTCAATACTCCATAGATATTGCTCAAAAAAATTAAACAGTTGAAATTTTGAAAAAAGAACCAATTTGGTTTCGTAAAACTTCGTCTTTTTTGTCAACCCAACATTTTTATAGCTGCTAAACAAACTAAGATTAATGTGCATCTCACGGGAACTTTTTTTTCAGAGAAAAGATCACAAAATACAAGCATAAACTGCCTTAAAAATATGCGAAGAATAAAAAACCAGAAATTTTGCACGTGAACGAGATTATTTATGTAACACGCAAAAAATGAAAATTCAACGAAAAATAATTTTATTATGCGTGTGTTTTCCACCAAGTCCTCTAATCAAAGACTACACATTTTTTAAATGCCTCCGTCAGTCTAATTTTTGACAGTTAAATTTTCTTTGCCAATGGAAAATGCACAATTCAAACACTGAACACTTCTTCCAAGGAACTGGTTTTCATGACCAGAAAATATCTGAAAAATGAAGGAAAAAACCTCATAAAAAATAGTAAAATACAAAAAAGACAAAATCTTGCAAGTCAAGAATATTATCATTGCAAAACGCTGAATAAAATGGAAAAATCTGATGCAAACATACATAAATTGAGCGTGTTTTTCAACCAAGTCTTTCGATCAAAATGTCATAAAATGCGTTCTTCGATCTATTTTTTTGTCTAACACTGTAAAAGTTGTTTCGTCGGTATCACAAAAACGCAGAATTTTCAAATCCACTTCTTCAAATATGAGGAATATCAGTGTTCACTTGCTGATGGTATTATTTGAAGCACTTCCGAAATGCAAGTGAAAAATTTCTTCCCCATCATATATTCCATCAAAAATATGAAACGCCAGAAAATCACAAGCTCTTTCACTTCAGGCACGTAATTTATGCTCAAAAAAAAAAAAATTGGTCCACAAAAAAAGGGGTCGTAAATGTTTGACACAAGTCTACATCAGTTGAATAAGTTTCATTTATTTGCCAGCAGTACTGCAATAACCCCAAGCCTTTCATGACTCTCTTGGGCACACAAATTTCTCGTCCTGGATCCTAAAAAATTCCCAAAATTTTTGTTTCTTTTTTTAAAGCTCATTTTCTCCCCTTCAAGACTAAATCATTATATAAGTCGGTCAGTTTTTTTTTTACGCCCCCTTTTCTTGCTCAACCATTTTCCGGTAAGGGTTCATATTTTTTCATGAGTACATCCATAAAAACTAAGCGTGGGGGTTTATTATACTTTACCCCCCACAGAAAGAAAAAAAAAAAACACCCTTTATGTAACAAGTGTCCCATTCACTGCGAGCTGGGGGTTTGGAAATCAGGTCGTTTGTCACTCTGAGAATCGCTCTTGCACTTTTTCTTTTAGTCTTGTTAGTTCGAATGCGTTTTGCGAGGAAATGCGACATAGTTTTTCCCCCCGGGGGAGTTGCGGAATAACGTGGATTTTTTGGTGATGTGGCGGGAAAATGGGAAACAGGAAGTTGGATTCGGAAACGGATGCATCACCGGCGGTTCCGGTCCTGGTTTAAAGGGACTCCTCCCAATAATAATGCAATATTTCCGCTTCACCATTATCATTTTCATTATTATTAATATTAATGTGTTAGTCTTTTCGTGCTTCCGCGTCTGAGGTCATTGTGAACAGTGCTGGTGCGAAAAAACAGGGATGTCACAGGAAGAGCTAATTAACAGTCTGGGGGCAATGAGGAAATTTATTTTTTCAAACATTTATTTACATAGTACACTATACTGTGTGTAGAACATTTAGTCAGTCATTTCAAAGAAAACAGAAATTTTTCATGTCAGTTCTTTCTTCTGGATTTAATCTCTGAAAGAGAGTACAGGCATTCAATTTTTGCTTCAACCCTACTTGTAAAAAAAAAGACATGTTTTGGTAATTTGCTAAAACTTGTCCATGGAAGCTTCTGTGAGAATCAGGTTTCACCACAACTCTCATGGGAAATGCAAAAGACCAAATGGTTAAAAAAAAAGTCCAAACCTTTAACCCATGGACATCAGAGGGTTCTTTTTCATTGCCAGCTGAAGTGAGATTATTTTTGTATACTTGTGTGCTTTCAGTTTTCTGAAGGTCAGAAAAGCCCTTCCAGGAGGGCTGAGGCAAAGTTGGGATTAATCCAAGAAAAGCCTGCTGCTTATAACATAGCATTTTTTTTTTATTTTCCCACAAAATTTGTCTGAGAAAAATGAACAAAAAAATTGGGATTTTTTCTGACTTTGACCTCAAATCCCTGTTGCCATTTTTTTCTTTTCTTCTCCAAGGTGCAACAAAATTATGCAAAATTAGTCCAACTTTGCCGCCCAAGGGTTAGAAATAAACCCAAAATAGAAAATCTAAAACAGAAACTTAATATCTGAGACAAAATCTCAGGGGAAATTTTCATGGCCTTGCAAACCCATCTTCCTAAAAAAAAAGTCCCAAGAGAGATTTCACTATCTCCTGAACCACAGTACCATGCTGATCAAAACAAGTACCTGAAATTCATATATAGGATGTTTCTGCACCAAGGTTGTAGTCCAATCAAATTCTCATGTTTTATTTCATTAGAAGGAAATTTCAATCTCTCCTACACAGTATGCAATTCTCAATTCAGAAAATGTGTAGTTGATTGAAAAAAAAGACAAATCCATAAAGAAGGAGAGAATTGATTACGAATTGAGAATATAGAGTGATGCTCATGATTTTTAAAGCATCATATGTTCAGGTAAAACTCAAGAGAGAACAAAAATTCAATTTTGTCCCAATTCAAGAAATTTCTACAAATCGATGTACATTACCCAGAAATACAGCAATGACTCAAAGGAATGAAAAAATAATAATTTTGTCCCAAATCGAAGAAGATTTATATCGACATTTATATTCTAATCCCAGAGCATTCAAGGGGTGAATCAAGGAAAGGTTAAAATTCAATTTTGTCCCAATTTAAAAAATATTCATGCTGAAAATTTACAAAAAAATACGTAAAGATTGAGAAAAAAATATTTTCATTGAAAGAATTGCCTCAAATGAAAAATTGTCTCACGTCAAAATTGAATGAATTCTGTCAAGTTTTGAGCACAAATTTCAAAAATAATTTTCAGAATAGAAGAGAACATCGTGAATCTGGAAAACGGAGGAACTGTTTTTTTTTGTTTCATCACCGCAAATAAAAGGTTCTCGGTTTTTTCCTTGAAGCACTGTATTCAATATTCCCGCTTCACAAATATTATTCTCATTATTATTTTTATTGTTTCCTTTCATGTCTGGTCATTGTGAACAGTGTTGATGCGCAACAGGGATGTCACAAGAATAACAGTAGGCTGTGGGTGACCAAAAAATTTCCTCTTTTCCAATCATACATGTACAAAGTATATGATACGGTATGCAGAAAATGTGTCACGGAAATTGAGAAAAAATTGATTCAAATTAAAACCACTGTATCTCTAAAAAATGGGGGAGAATTTAAAAAATGAAATCCAAATGAAATCCATGCGCCTTTTTGATGACCCTGATGAATAAATTATTTGGGAATCTCAAGTTCCAGGAGCAATTGATCTTTAGTGAAAGGAAAGGTGAACTTTTCCTAGTTTTTTTTTGTGTGTGAAAAAAATCCTATTCACATGCAGACATCACGTCCAACAAAACACTGAATGACCTTCAGTTTAAAAAACTGGAGCAGGACACGTGTGATTCAACTCTGCTGATAGTCATGGATGAGTGCTTCCAACCAACATTCACACATGACTACAATCCAAAGCATTTCCTCATCATTTGCACTAAAGCTTCAATTGTAAACTTGTACCAAAAAGGAAAGACCACTTCAATTAAATTCAAAAATTGTTGGATCTTTTTTAAATTGAAGAATTGATTGATCTTTGTTAAATTGAAGAATTGATGGATCTTTTTTAAATTTAAGAATTGATTGATCTTTTTTAATTCAAGAATTCATTTGATTTAGAATTGGTCTTTTTCAGTGAGCAATAAATTGAATGTATGCTCATGCAGGTTATATTAGTTAGGAGTTAAATGGCCAACTGTTGAGGCATTTGCTAGTTGAATCACCAGGGGTCAAATCAATCATCATTTCTTCATTGTGAAGAACATTTTATGAAAAAACGTGATCCAAGTCCACCAGGATTTCAAATGTTTCCAAGTCGTAATTTGTATTTTTTCTATCACTGCAACTGCAGTTCTCCAAGTATAAAACATTCCAATTTATTTCATTGTACAGATGAAATTGAATTTAAATCCACCTGCGTCATTCATATAGTTGTTTCACATCAAAATTTAAACTCAAAAATCAAGATTAAAATACAAATGTATTAGGCAAATAAAATCTTTGAAATATCCAACTGGTTTAACTTTAATTCATTCACAAGAAAGCGCCGTTGAAGTTTTGTGAATCAACTCTTGAGATAAAATTATTCGTTTCAATTGCAGTTATAAAAAGCTTCTTCTGTGTAATAATGTATTTCAGGTTGGTGATTTTTTATACAGTATTCCGATTCCAATTTTGGAACACGAAAACAAAAAGAATATCATCTATTACTTTGAGAGAGAAAAAATAAAGTTTCTATATTCAGTGGCACTTTAAAACTCTTGATGCCTGTCTTCTTCGGAGTACTCCCCTGCATTTCAATTTAAAAAAAAAGAAACGAAAAACAATCACCAGAGTTCATTGAGAATGGCTTCACACACGTCAACAGTAGCCACAACCTTGAGAAGTTCCGGAGCATTCGAGAGTGGAGCCTGTGCTTTGTAACCCGTCGGCTCTCCATCAACCCCCTCGGGCGAGGGATATACACAAAGGATATAAATTCTTTTTCCTGTTTTAAAATTCCTCGGGCTTCATTTTTTTACGAGTTTGTTGAACTAGATTTATTTCGCGCTGGGGGGATTAATGGCTCGGGACCCGGGCCGCGCCCAGCAAGTGGGACGTTGACCACGACGCAAATTTATGGTTCACACACTACGCCCCGTACCTTATTTTTATTTTAATCGTTATTTAGTATACCGAACGAAAATTTTAAATAACAATGAATGAGACGTTAGTTGCAATTCGGTTCTTAATTTCTTTCCACGTCCGCGTAAAAAAAAAAAGCATTTACACGAGAAATTCATATAAATTTTTCTATATTTATATTGAATTGAAGCGCGCACAACTTCATCCACGCGCAGGGGCATTTTATGTGTTTGCGTCATGCAGTGACACCTATGCGAAATTTTCTAAGTTGAGCTTTATTGTTATCATCATTCTCCGCGTGGAATCGCATCCGTCAAGAAAACGCACCATTTCCTGATTCCTTATAGCTGGTGTGTTGTTGCACACGTGGAATAGAAAATTGAAGAGCGACATCTGGTGACGAGACACTAAACTAATAAACAAGGATAAGTTTTCTAAAATAAAAGGCTCGAACATGAGGCAACTATTTGAATCAACATGAATGTATTTTATTCAGAAAAGGGGGCAGGTTGAAATAAATATTTTGTTATATTTTGGATTGCAATCAAGATCAATTTTCTCAACACATATTATTATCAATATTACGGTTAGGAAATTTATGTATATAAGTATTTAAGTACTTACATGTATCATCTCATGACATTTTGTCATTCGAAGAAAATATGTGCTCAAAAATAATGTTTTTCACATGACAAAAACATTCAGGGATTTAAGACATTTAGATGCTTGAGATTGGCATTTCAGGAGTTTTCTGGGTATTTTCAGTCGGGAAATTCTCCTCAGAAATCTGAAAGAAAATGTAAGAGTAAAGTCATTTCCTCACTTATACTCACAAAATATGGTTACGCAATCATTCAATCAAGTTGTACAGTATAATCAAATATGATTAAATAAAGTTTGCATTGCAGGAGGTTTCAGGACATATTGGGATTTGAAAGTGTATACAGAACTCACGAAAAATGATGCGATTCGTTCTTTAAGAAAATATTGAGTGACCAAAAACATTGACAAAAGTGATTTTTGCAGTTCAGAAATTTTCAGGACAGTTTTTCTTCAGAAAATCTTCTGTGGAAAAGGTCTGATACCACAAAAAAGAAATGATGCTCAAGAAACATACAGCGTGGAATAAAATACTAATGAACTTGAGTGTGATTACTAAAAATTCACACTCAAAACAGCTTGATGTCATAAAATCCTCAGATTTTCTCACACTCTAAGAATGCAATGGTGTCAAACAAATCTTCATACCTTATGGTTAGGAATTGTTCACATCATAGCAAACAACCCTGTGATGTGAACAATTTTCACTTGGAGGTTTCCCTATATATGTACAGTATCAAGATTCAGGAAGTGCTGGAGGAAACCAGCAAAGTCATGCCCAAAATTGAAAAATACCGCAGTGTCCATCTGCTGCCCTCTGAGCAGTCATCAGGATTCCCCATCATTCCGTGGGCAATTTGAACCAGGAAGTCCTTAAAACATCATCTTTCCCACCAGAAAATATGTTCAAACCAACAGCTTGGTAATGGAAAGAGGGACAAAAGGTGGAGGACACTCGATTCCTTCTTTTGAAGCTATATTCTTGAACTGCAAAGTTACCCATTGGCTTGGCCATTTACAAATGGCCCAAGTGGATTTCGAAACAATCAAAGGATGATCATGGAAGGAAAAAGATTTTGTAAATCATGCTTCAGAAGTCCTTCATATACAGGCATTTGCATCTCTTGCAAAACCCCGGATGTTGATTCATATCTCCAATGAACTTAACTAATCAAATTGCTATTCATGAAGAAAATGCATTTCATCATTTATTGAGCCTTTTTTCTTGATGTAACCAGCTGCAGAAATTGTGGATGTGAAGTTATTGCATTTTAAGATTGACATATTCTGCAATGAAAAATTAAGTTGGACTCTTCATATACTGAATCTCACAAAATCAAAACCTTGATGTTTTTGTGAAAGAGTAAAAATATTTTTGAAAAATGCTGACCCAAAAGCAGAAAAACAAGCAGTTGTAGACTGACAAAAATAGCTAAAGTCTGGGGAAAGTTTTTCTTCCTATCACAGAACAATCTTGGAGAAACCAGGGAAAAATTCCTATACATGGGTGGCATTTTTCTCTATTCTTAACACATGATTTAAAACATTGAGTGTTTTAAAAAGCAACATGGTTTAGAGTTAGACTCTTCCTGCAGAAAAGTGAATTTTTGCGACCTATGGTTAGACCAACATGGACTTTATTGCAAAAGAACCAAGGTTTTGCCACATGATTTTTATTAACTTTTTTAGTGTCCATTCAAGGCTTAAGAAAAATGCACTGTGAATCAAAACTTAACTCCACAAATTGTATAAAAGAAACAGTGCTCACTCAAAAATTTGTATACTTTTTGAAATGGGTTACAGAATATTTCTGAAAAGGGCTTCTCCTAGAAATGATGAGTAGCCAGAAATAAATTGGAACTCAGCAATCGGCACGTGCATGACCTTCCAAAAATAAGAGCTAACATGTTTACACAAGTCAAGGTACAATATTCACAATAGAATACAGAGTAGAAATATTCACACTTCAAAATGGATTTTTTACAATTTCATCAAAAAGATTCAGCACAGACTTTCAACATGCATGCCTACAAAAACCCTCTGAACTGTTGATTTTGCATTTCAGGACCTTTTTATGCATTTGTCTCCTCTGCTTTTTTTTTGTGGGTCCATCAACAGCAAAGGCAGAAACTTCCAGCAGCATTCTGGTAAATTTGACCTGACAGTTTCAGGCCAATTTATCAGATCAAATTTTGTTACTCATTTTTTCCCCTTTGAGAGGTAATTCTTCTGTAAAATAGTCAGAAAACCATGGGACATTATTTTTTGGTAATTTTGTTCCCCTGGGGTTGGATTCCCCTTGAATCCATTGTAACCTTCATGCTTTCCAAAATGGACACAGCATTGACACATTCACCCTTCTTTTCAAGTTCAGAACCTTTTCTGACTGCCTTCTACAGTATAAGCCAGCAGTTCAAGGCCAAAGGGATAAAAAAGATATTCTTCTTGAACTTCTTGCAAGCTCTTATTGTAAACAATTTGATTCTTCTTGACTAAAATAGTGCCAAATTAAATTTTTTTTCATGTCCATCCAGGTGAAAATAATGAATGTTCAACTGTTTTTCATCTCAACCTTGTTATTTCTTGCTGAGCAAGATTTTCTCTTATTTAGAGGTCCACATCAAAATGTGAGTATAGGATCAGGTTGATACAGCATTTTTTTCTAAATTCCATGGGTGATCATCACTTATCAACCGAAAAAGTGAAGTCATGTTCCAGAGTCACGTTGGTGAAGTTTTATTGTGATGATACATGACGGAGAAGAAAGATAAAACCAAGACAAACGGATTTTTTTCCGATCCGATACATATATTAGTGGAATCTCATTAGAAGACATTCTTGGTTCATGAACTTTATTTGTGCCAGCCCCAAAATATTTATGTCCGAAATGGTCCAGTTTCTGAAAATATATGCATCACCTTGTCTTTAGATCAAGCAATTGGTTAGCGTACATTTTCTTTCTTAAAGTGTGAGTGGGGACAATTTTATTCAAGGAGTTTATTTTTTGTATAATTGAAATTCATTACATGATTCTCTGGAGCATGAATAAAAATATGTCTTTCCCAAATGGCCCAATTTTGAAATTAGCGCATGAACTTGGCCCAAACCGAGAAACTGCGTATTTCCCATTTCCTTCATCCAATTTTTTGATTGTGGAAGGTTTTGTTTAGTACTGTATTGTTTGTTCAATAATTTAAGTTCATTGGAATATTTTCCCAAGAATAAAAAAAACATTAATGTTCCAACAAATAGTACAGCTGTAAAAGCTCATGCCTGAACTTATTCCATATTATCTGAAGGAGTTACGTATTTTGAATTTATTTTCTTCAAATTTTTATTGGGGAATTTTTTTTGGGTTTATTAAATTGCATGCTTCTTCCCTAGAATCATGAAATCTTCCTTTCTCAAATGGTTCACTTCGGAAATCACATGCATTCACTTGTTCTAAATCAAGCAATTTCAAAATAAAATTTCCTTTCTTCAACTTATTTTATTGGCGCAAATTATGTTGGTGATTTTTTTTTTTCATCTAATAGTGAAGGTCATTGCATACTTTTTGTCAAGGATCGAAACAGATTTCTGTCCCAATAAATGTTCCAATTCTGAAATATCATGTGCCTGGACTTCTATGTTCTATCACATCAAGCAATTGAGTGTTTTAAATTTCCTTTTTCATCACATTTTATTGAGTGAAATTTTGTTCAGCCAGATATTTAATTTTGTTCAATAATTGAAGATCATTACATCATTCTTCCCAGCAAAAGAAAAGCCCAGTTTTGAAATCGTGTGTCTGAACTTTTAATCCTGCATAAAGCAATTGCGTAATTTATGTTTTTTCGACGAAACATTTTTTGATGCACCGTTTCATCACTCAATTTTTTTTGTCTATAGTGATATCTTTGAAAATCATTCAATTTTCAGATTTATAAAAAGGACCATACAAGTGTATAAATAGTGGGTGTACTTACTTCAAGCAGGGGTCTGGAATGATGTACCCAAGTAAAGTCCGCATCAACACCTTCGGGATCACTGGCCTCTTCATCTTCTTCCTCTTCTCTTTCTTCTCCTTCTTCTTCTTCACCATCATCATCTTCATCATCATCATCCACCAGGGAAGAACCCGGACTCGTGGCGAAGCAGCGCTGTTGGAGATGCTGCTCCAAATCCGAGTCCATTTCGGAGTCGTCGCCTGGACCAAGGTCGAGGTCATCCGAGCTCATTACAGAGGATTCCTCGTTACTTCCGGTCCGAGGCAGCCCGACTCGCTTGTGTTCCTGTTCTGGTGTTGCTTCCCGCACAACCTTCGGGACAAAGGAAATGCAGGGAAATGATGAAAATGAGAAGAGTGAGAGAAGGGAAATAAATTACCCCCACCGCCCGAAACACCCACTCAATCAACAGTCAACGCCTGTTTCGACTTCCGGACACCTGGCTTGAAAAAAATACCGTTGGACTCCAGAAAATGATGGAAATAAAGTAAAATCGTTCTGAACACATGGAGGTTTCGAAGTTACCTAAATTAATGTCATTGGGGTTTTTTTTTTTTAAATACCGTTGGACTTAGAAAAATCCTCGTTTCGGACCCAGAGAGGTTTTAATCTAATCTTCAATTAATGATGCACTGATTTCCAAAATTCCAAATTAGTTTGGAATTCCTCAAGGCGAAGTTCGCTGAATATACTATACATGTGAATCGTCGTTTCGTTTTACGGACAGTACGTTGCTGGAAAAAATACCGTTTTACTCCAGAACATGATGGAAAAAAAAAGTAAAATCGTTCTGGACGCATGGAGGTTTTGAAGTTACCTAAATTGATGTCATCGGTGTTTTTTTTTAATATCGTTGGACTTGGAAAAATGCTCGTTTCGGACCCAGAGAGGTTTTAATGTAATTTTTAATTACTGATGCACAGATTTCAAAAAACCCAAATTAGTTTTTAATGCCTCAAGGCAAATTTCGCGGAATATACTGTATATGTCAATTATTGTTTCGTTTTCCGGACACGTGGTTTGAAAAAAATATCGTTGGACCAAAAAAAAAATCGTTTTGGACGTACAGGCGTATTAATGTTATCTTGATTCATGTCATTGGGTTGAAAAAATACCGTTGGACTGCTTGTAAAAATCCTTGTTTCGGTCGCACAGACGTTTTAATTTAATTTTTAATTACTGATGCACTGATTTCTCAAAATGCTGATTAGTTTGGGATTCATAAAGGCGAATTTTGCTGAGTATGTCAGTCAATGCATGGTTTCGACTTCCGGACACCAGCTGGATTGAACGAAAAAAAATCTGTCATTGAACACACAGAGGCTAAATTAAAGTGCATTTAAAGATGTTGTTAAGAACATCTTTAAATGCACTGATGCAAAGGTTTTAAAAATCCAGATTAATTTCAAATTCCTCAAGGCAAATCCCATTCAATATTTTAACCAAGTGATTGCTATACGTACAACTTTCTGACACCTGGTTTGAAAAACTTCTTGAACTAAAAAGTAGCTCATTGTGGTTTAAAAATCAATTTTGATCACTGATGCTGGCATAATAAAAGTTCAGCTAGTTTCTCTTCTCAATCATTTTTGTTTAATTACAAGCTGGGGTATGCAGCTAAACCTGTGCATCATTATGCAAACCATGCCCAGAATAATAATAAAAAATTAATGATGAAAGCTGGTTACATGATCTAGGAATATTGATAATCTTTTACTTGTGCTCAATGCACCAATTGTGGCCCAGTGGGCCACAGGCACATCTGAACAGGAGGATTGTGGATTGTCCGGAAGCACATGGCATTATGAAACAAATTATGCTGAGAATTGAAACAATTTTGAATGTTAAAGCTAGTTACATGGTCAAGGACCACTGGCAATCTTGTACTTACCCTCAATGCACCAGTTTTGGAAATTTTCCATTTTCAGACGGCCAAAATATAATTTCTGCCTCTGTGTAACATTGAATTAGTGGAAATATTTTCCTAGTGCTTCATGAACAAGAATAAAATGTATGCTGTAAATTGGCCAATAAAAACTGCTGGTACTGTAGAAGAAGGTTTATTCATTCTAGTTGAATTTCTGGATATTTGTGCAAGTAAATGGGGCACACTTCCAAAAATATTCATCTCTGTCAAAATTGTCTTCCCTTCTGCCTCTGCCCTGGTCAGTCCCTGGCTATTCATACATCATATGCCTCGCGTGTAAAAGTGTGAAGGAAAGGAACTATATGCAGAGATGATTTGACAAAAATAAACAACTTCACACCCACTCAATCAGTCAATGCCTTCGCCAGCACCAGCAGGAAAAAAAAAATCAGAACAGAAGATCGTCATTCATCATCAGTTGCTGCTGAAGCAGCAACACTCAAAAACTGAGGTCAGATAAAAATCAGCCCACGCCAGGTCAACTTTCCTGCATTTATTTTTCACTCAAAGAAAATGCACTCATAAAAAATCTTAAAGCCACTTTTAATTTTACAAAACTCTGTCATAAAAAATGTACTACAGTGTTTATCACTATTTACAGAGGTAACATTCTGTCTCTTGTTCTTGCTGAGTTGAGGATAACCTTATTTTTTACATTCAAAATAGTTCATCTGGCATTCAGAAACATTTCAAAATATGGCTTTTTTGCTCGGATGTGGAATTTTGAGGTAATGTTCTGGCAATGTAAAATGCCAACATATCCTTGGATGGAGAAAGAAGGAAAAAATTGAGCTTCGTTTTCGGGTTACAATTAAGGCAGGCTGAAGAAATGATGGAACTGAGAAGTGGCAAGGGGCTTTTCAAATGAGGGTTTGGGCAGCAACTAAATGTCTTCACTATGTAAAGAACCCAGGGGTAATAAACCTTATCTGGTTATTGAAATAAAACCTTTGCCAAAAGTCCTAATGAACTTGAAGAATCTTCACAAAAAGACACTGCACCCCTCCCCTCCCCCAACCACAGGTGAATTAATGAAGAGAAAGCTTTATTTTCTGCATTCACAAGGTTCAATCAACATTCCAACATCCCAACCCCATCCCCACCCAACCCAAATACATTCAAAGGCATACAATCACTTCAGAATGGGAAACAGAGAAAAAGCTGTATGTGGATACCAGAATAAAATAAAATTCATTCCACAATGTACAACTGCACAACTGATTTGTATGCCTAAAACCCCTTCTTTCCCTGTCATTGAAAACAAAATATCAGTGACAATAATTGTAGCATAAGCCAGAATTGAAGCACTTGCAGCAGTTACTGAACCCAATTTAAAGCACAAGGTCTTCAGCCTGTTCCCAGATAAGGTTTCAGGTAAATGAACAATTTAGAGAGAATCTTTTATGTGGACACCAAGGGGTGTCCCATGCCAGGGTCAAAAATTGCTTGAAGAAAGTGATTCTTTTCAATCTGAAAATAGCTTTATTTGAATATATTTGTATATAGTGTAACTCACAAGAAGAAAAAAACTGTCACTGTTTTGGGAGCAGAGGGAATATGTGATTGAACACTCAATAATAATTTTCCTTACAACAGAAACCCAAGAGACGAATGAGTCAGAAGAAAGAAAACATTTTATACATTGCGATTTCCAGATCAGGACTTCAGAAGCAAGTACATATTTTAAATTGTTTCTGACAATCTCATGAAAATTGTGCTTTGTGATTCAATTGACTGTTGGCAGCACACACAAAAATGAGCGAATCTACATAAATGGGCAATTTTGGTTTTGATTGATAAACCAGCAAGCTTCATTTTCCACTTTTCAGCATTCTCAAAGTTCAAGCAATGTTCCCATATCAAAACCCCCTCCCCTTCCCAACCACATTCCATCACATCTCAATGAAAAGTAGAGAAATAAGCTGCATTTGGATTTTAAACAGGAAGAAAATACTTCCCAAAATTGAAAATTGTACAAAAGATTTACATGTGTATGCTTTCTTCCTCTCCCCAATAGCAAAAAGGAAATGTCAGTGATATAATTTGTAGCATAGGGCAATAATTACTGACTCCAACTTGAAGCATAAGGCGTTCAGCCTGCTCCAGCATGAGTTTACATTTCCACAAATTTTTGAAAAAAAAGGAAAAATCGCAGAAAGAGACACATGAGTCAGCTTGATTAGCACGCAAATAATTCACAGATTCGCAAATATCATATGACTGTCTTCCATATCACGACATTGTTCAAAAATTGCCGACATCATCAGAAAGATTCGCCGAATGAATTATCTGATATGAACTGAAGTAAGCAAAAATACTGCAAATCGATTTCTCTGAATCACTTTTTGGAATAACGGTGAGGTAATATTATAAATTGTTGGCTAAGGTACGCTGAGCAACATTCAAATTTGCGCAAATGGCGGATTCAATTTATCCGGGTCAAACCATTTTTCCTCACGGACGTAATTTATACTCTTCGAAATTACATGCAAATATTTATCGCAATTCTGTTGAAATGACGCGATTCTTCGAGGAAAAAATGCCAAAAATCGTTCCTTTTATTTTACAAAAACATTACGTTTTACCACTGTTTTTTTTTTTTTTTTCGAGGCAGCAGCCTCGAATCATCAGTTTTTATTTTTCACCAGGAAATTATTTCAAGGGTGACAAAAACACATTTTCCGACAATGAAACGGACAGCAGGAAATTTTTTTAATGCGTGACTGATTTTTGAGCCTTTGTTCAACAAAAGTGAAATTTCTGATTTTTGAAATCAGAGGCTCACTTTCGATCCAGCTTTTTATGCAACTTTCCGCATTTCGTCACACTTGAATGCCGTTATATTTCGCACATAACTCTTTTCGCAGAGAAGGTGAAGAAAGGTTTTCATTTCGCCAAATCAATAGGGAAGAAAATATTTGTCCCGTTCTCCGAAACAGCACATGATATCAGCAAGCAATCATCACCACAAAGAGCAGCAATCAAAATTTTGATTTCAAAATGAAAATGTTTCCATGCCTTATTTCAAGGATTTATTCGGAGTCGACGTGATTTTTCAGTCCTCGGAATTTCGCAATGATTTCGAATTTGGCATCACACTTTATGACGGTGAGCTATCAAGAAAATATTTTCCTCGATTTCCACAGAGATGCAGAATTTCAAGTAACTCAAAGCAATTAGAGAATCGCTCGTATGAATTACGATTTCAAAAATCTGCGATTAAAAAAAAATAAGAAGATCAGCGATTCATGGCTATACGAACGATGAAATGAGGATATTTTTCACGTCGAATTTCTTCTACCGAAAAATCAGAAGGATTTCATGCCCTTCAATTGCAAATTTCAAAAACAATTCCAATGTCATCTGCATGAAAAATGGCTTTCCA